ACCACTGGACCTTTTGAAGACGCGGGCAGGGGCTCTTTTTAGAGCCACGGACAGGGGTCTGACCGGATCCACAGCGAGACCTTCTCCAGCTCATTGTTGCGTCTGCAACATGGGGAAAAACCCACATAGTCTTTGTATTCCATCCTCCCCACCTCCCTCCTTCCCGGCGATATATGGAGAAGTGTTTTGTTATAGTGGGAAGGGGTCCCCTGGTTTCACTGAGGTCTCGGTCCACGGGAGAACCCTCTTTTAACCCCCCCAGTATTGCTACCGGCCAGGAAAAAGCACCGCGTCTGTGCGCAGCGCAAGATGGTAAACCTGGCACTCATTAGATGTGGCTTTTTTTCCCTTGCAGTGTCAGTTCATGTCGTGGTAAGGCAGCCTAGTTAAAAGGCAGCGTTCGCTTATGCTGACGACTGTTCTCGTGGTGACTTCCCAAGACTGTGGCAAATCCTTCTGTCGTCTCTCTCGACTCTCCCGCTGTGTCAGGGTGGAAGTTGCAGGAGCGCGAAGTGCTGGAAATAGAGAAAGCTCCAAAGACGACTCCGAACTCTTGTCCCAGAACTAACTACAACCCCAATCACAACCCCAGCTCCTGCGCCTCTGGACCGGCTCCTGTCCCTCCGCGGTTTTATATTGGACACTTAGCCCTTTCTCGGGCGCGGAGGGCAAGAAATTACTGGGAAAGGCGGCAGCTCCGCGGGGAAGGGCAGGGAAACTTCGCGCCGCTGAAAACTATGTAGCTGGGGCCGTGTTTACTGTCCCTACGGAGGCTCAGGCGCATGAGGAAAGAAAGGCAGCCTCCACAGAGGTGAAACTGTCCTGACACGATTTCGAGATTCTGGGGGTGTCCTTGCTGAGCAGCCTAGGCAGGTGGTGGCAGGGTCCTCCGGACCCCTGAACTACCGCGGGATCGAAGCAGGTCCCGCAGCAGCAGCTAGTCGCGCAGCCCTACTTTATAGTCTGTGTAATAATCGTCGGCAGTATCTGGAAGTAGAGTTTGGAATGACAAACGGGTGCCAGTAATTACAGCATCAACCGGATGGCATAGGCGAGTTCATGTTCATTAGCTCTGACCACTTAATTGCTATTACTCTTTCATAATCAGCTAAGAAGTTAGCCAGGTGTGATTACATGTTTCGCTCGGTTATCAGCTGAATCAGTATTTAGTCTCAGGACATGAAACCCCCTGTAATTAGGAGGACGTTTTGTCGAGGCACAAGTTTCTCACTTTTTTATGCCCCTACATGCAACTTTCTAGTGAAAACATTGCTAAAAATAAAAGCCCCGAGAAATGAGACATATTTCCATTTGTATTCCCACGTCCCGTTGTGTTTCCTCTTGCAGTAAATGCGGTGAATTTTTCTCTGACGTCAGAATATTTCAAATAAGGCTGCCAAAAGAAAGGAGCACCTAAAACGCAGTGTTTCAGAGCTTTTTGAAGTCGATTACATCAAAGCAAATCACAGTGCAGCCGCAGCGACGCCCGTAGAGGTCTTCAGTCCTGCCGAGACATCTGCTCCAGCGAGAGCCCCCGGTGTACCAAAAAACTCTTTGGGCGGGTTTATGACTATATATTCAATTGCTTCGATTTTATAATGAGCCGTTTTGTGAAGGGTGTATAAAACAGCAATGTCGTGCATGGCATGATATTATGCATACGAATAAAAATAATGATCTCATGAGCAAAGGTCGGTTCTCTGAGAGCACCCGCCCAGTTTACAAGCGGCAGGAGACGTCCCGCACTCCCAGCCCCGGGGCCGTGCGGGGCACCGTGCGAAGGCCGTGGCCCCGGCCCGGAGCAGCCCAGTGCTTCCTCTGCTCAGGGAGGACAGTCCCCACCGAGACGTCGCTCCACGTCGGGCAGGGCAGGGGGACCTGCCGCGCTGGCCGGGCCTCTGCCTGCGGGCAGTCCTTGTCTTGCCCCAGCGGCGCTTCCGCGGGTGCCCAGCGCCCCGCCGAGTCCCGCTGCATATTCCATTGACACATTGCACAGGAACCTCCAGAATACACGAGCTATATGGTATCGCTGTAGGCAGTGCTTGTGGTCTTCCCGGAAGAAAAGGTTGTGGGGTTTCCTTTTTTTTTAATTCCTGAAATTATCTCATTTCCTCAAGTGCATTTACGATGATTTAATACAGTTAGGATTCTACTCAAACTTTTAGCACAGGTTTTTAGTATCCGACTAGTATTTGTCTCTCACAGCAAAAACAACCCGAATTTTGATCGCCTCCCTCGCTAGAATTTGCCGATGATAATCGTGTCTATAAGAATTTGCTTCTGTTAGTGTTTGCTGTAGGAAAAAAAAATATCTCTCAGGACAGACGGAGAACGCAAATATAACCACTCAATTTGTACTTCTCCCAAACCTTACTCCATGCCCACTACGTTCCGTTATTACCTTTTAACTTGCGTAGAATTTTTAATAGCTAAACAGAACAGAAGAACTTTCATTTTCCTCTACCACTTAAAAAAATAGCCAGTTACAGTAATGAAAAGATTTAACAGCAACGCGGGAAGAATTGTTAAACTATTTTCCCCTCCAGATATGTGCCACAGGTTCTCATGTCTTTAGTTAATTCAGCCTTAAAAAATCCGTTTCGAGTTGGAGAAAGTTTTCTCAGGGCTCCCCGCGTGGCCTCGGTGCAGCGGCCACGGGCGGATGAGCACTGCGGGTGCTGAACTTGAGCTCTCGGGTCACGGGCTGGTGCTGGCCGCTCCCTGACTCCAACCTCCGCTTTGACGCAGCGCGGAGACCTCGGGATCCTGATCTTGGACCAGCTGCAACCTAAATTGAACCATCAGACGAGTCCCTTTGAGACCTGCTTAGGCTTTATCATTTGAATTAAAGCCCGTCTGTGTGCAAAGGCAGCCCCAGAAGACATCACGCACCCATGAACCTCGCATAGCGCCCGCGGGATCTCCGCCTGGGCGGCGCGGGGAGGGACGGTGTACAGGGCCCGCGGGACTCGGGGATATGCTATGCTCGTGTCCTTTCCTCGTGGGTGACATTTTACAGATAATCTGGACTGAACACGCCCCAAGACTGGCCCTACGCTTATATGGCGGTCTGAGGTGGAGGGTAGATGCAGGGCTGAGCAGGAGCGCACTGCGTGCTCAACATGCAGGACACGCGTTGCGCGGGTGCGGAGCTGCCTTGCCAGGCGGCCTCCGACTGGCACAGGGAGGGCGGGAAGGGCTGGCGGAAAGGGCGGGCGGGGCTGCACGGCAGGATGGCAGCACCTGCTGTCAGGGCAGGCGAGCAGGCCGGGCAGGGCCGGTTGGCCGGTCAGGAAGGTCAGGTAGAGCCTGTGGGCAGGGCCCAGAAGGCAGGACAGGGCGGGCAGGGCAAAATGGGCAGGGAAGAACGGGCAAGGCTGGCGGGCAGGACGGTCAAATCAGGCAGGGCAGGTAGAACCTGCGGGCAGGACAGGACAGGACGGGCAGGGCGGGCAGGACGGGGCAAGTTGCCGCCGAGACGCCGCCAGTGGCACTGCCTGCGCCTGCAGGCAGCGCTGCCGCCCCCGCCGCGCGGGTCCCCCGGGCCGGACCCACTCCCCCGGACCCCGCCGGGACCGGTCCCCGCGCCCCCGCACGCCCCCCGACCAGCACACCGCCGCCTGCTCCCACCCCGCGGGCCGCCGTCCCGGAGACTTTGCGCTGCCGCGGGTACCTCCCCGGCGCTGCACGCCGCCTTAGGGCCCTGCTGGCAGCCTGCCCCGCCGCGGGGTAAGAAGCAGATATTCCCGCTCGTCTTCCAAACACACTCTTGGTGAAAAGCTGCCCGCGATGTTTGTCTCATTTAATACGAACTTCATTTCAACTAAGCTACGTGACCCCTTTTCCCCGGGTAACATTTAATAAACGAACACTGAAATGTTCTTTGATGCCTCCAGCAATAACTTTCAAGGTAAAAATCTGACCAAAGGCCTAAGCAGCTATTTAAACTTACAAGAACAACTGAGTAAACAGAGTCTAACAAAAGCTCGCATATTTCGGCAGTTTCTCGGCAGTCTCTGTAACTTCCTCCCCCTTTGCCCAATAATGTCACTTTAATGTCGGAGGTTCTTCAGGCTTAGCTGTTGGTTTTGAACAACTATAAACATATTCCGAAAGATCTTTTTAGACCTTGCTATTCTTTTTTTTTTGGGGGGGAGGGGGAAACCCCACAAAACCAAAACCAACAACAACCTCCTCATCACAAAAATAAGCAACAATCAAAAAAACCCAAAACATAAAGCCCCCAAACAAAGCCCCCCACGAACAACAACCCAACAGATAAATATCAGTGCAGTAAATGCCTCTAGTTTACTGACTATATAAAAATAGGCAATTAGTTTGTTTGGGGGTTGACGGTTTGGGGTGAACTGATTAACTGGATTGCAGGGAACAGTTTTGTAACCTCACCTCTACCTAGCAGAAGATTACTAGCGTCTCTTATAATATTTTATGTCCCTTGCATATGAATCTAGCTGTATTTTAAGATACTCTGTACATAACCTAAGGTATCAGTATTATTTAAAAGGTGCAAAATATAACCCTGGTAAAGATCATTCATAGCCGCACTTGAGTGTAACTTATTTTTCTTACACTGGGGCTTTTCACATAAGTCTTTTCCATCCGCTCCAAATAACATAAAAATCGTTCCCTCTTTTCTAGTGGTGCAGTAACATTTTTTGAGTCTAAAACTGTGCCTGCTCTGGTGGTGTGCACACAGGATTTGCCTCCGAGATGTGGTATCTCGGCTGCGGTTTCCGAAAGAGCAGGGGGAAAGATGCTCGCCGCGTTACAGCATGTAAGAAAACAGACGAGGGCGCCAAACGACAGCAATAAAACCGGCCGCAGGTTTCCGCTCCGCCTCCGCCCCGCCAGGACCGGCGGCCGGGCCACCGCCTGCTGCGGAGCCAGGCACGGCGGGGGAAGCGGGGACTGCAGGACCGTGGCGGGGCTGCGTGGGCGCCGGGCCCGTCGGGCGGGACGGGGCGGTGTCAGATTCTCGGCTGCGCTCCGCGGGTGCACCCCGGGGACAGCCCCCGTCCCTCGGGGAGGGCAGCGCGAAGCCTCCGCTCCCGGCCCGGCCGGAGACCCCGCGGGATGTCGTCTGCGGCCCTGTGACCCGCGCACCGCTCCGCTCCCCTCGGCACTGGGTCGCTCCGCCGCCGCGTCCCCGGGCGAGGAAAAGTTGACGTTTACTTTTGTCTGTTTTGGAGGCTGTAAAACTCAGGACACCACACTGCAGTCTAAATTCACATTTCGAAGGGCTGACATAAAACTCTCATTAATGGAAAGCTGGATTTTGCAAACAACGCCTAGAATGCTTCCTAAATATTTGGTAGAACGTTTAGGGAGACTTTACACGTTATTAAAAAAATCTGTCAAGTATCCCATTTTCGAGCTATGAATCATGCGCAAGAGCACAAGAACTTAGGAGACGTGTGAACCAAGATTAGTAGAAACAGTTCTCCTTGGAAAAAAAAAAAATCGAGCCCGGGTTTGATTGGGGTGTTTCTCCGGGCGATGAAACTCGGATTCACGGGGTCTAAATACTAGACGATGTGGGTGAAAAAAAAATCACGGCGAGAATAAAGGCTGGGCAGCTATCGAAACGCACTCCAGAGATGCTAACGACAAAGGATTTATCTTCGTTTAAATGGTTGCCATCAGCGTCATTATTACTAGCTAAGTTACCACTGAAGGGAGACTTTCCGACTGTCACGTCTGCCGAGCGCGGTAGCCCGTGTCTCCTGCAGCGCGGCGACGCTTCGCCCCGCGGCACCCGGCAAAGAGCGGAGGGATGAGCTAGCTGAGCCACAGGTAACTTTGGAGAGAGGGTGCTAAGATGATGTTTCTGATAGCTCGGAGCCTGTAGTCAATACCTCCCACCCATCACTTAATTCTGTGATAATTTTTTTAATTTTCAAATGCGTAAGTTTTATTGGCGGTGGGGAGAAAAGAAGCAGAGGGCTGGAGAGAAACCTGCCGGGAGGATTAGATGGACGCCCGTGGAGTGTTTTAAATCACGAATGCATTCAGTGTCCTTCGGTTATTTCCCTCCCCTATCATACCGTACGACGGTCAGTAGTGTCCCAGAGGGATGAAAAAGCGCAGGCTAGTTTCGTCGATAAACAGGATTATAGAAAGTAAAAAAAAAGATCTTATTTAAGGAAGCAACAAAGAAAAATTTAAGACTTGTCATATACTAGATTATAATAAATATTTAAATTTTCAGGTAACTGCTGTAGGTACGCTCGAATCTGTGCGTGATTATATTTGTGCGGGTTTATAAAGTCTGGGCATAAGGTCCGCGCGTGTGAGAGGGTGCGTGGGGGTGTCAGTGTAAATTCCTAAATAAAACTACTAATGTGGTCTGGAAATGGGAGGGAAAAATAAAGCGATATCAGCGGCAGGAGGTTCTCGGTCCTCTGGTCCTCTTCCAGCAATTCCTTGCATTGTGATCTAAAATACGCCTCAGAAATAATAATAAAGAAAAGCATTATCTAATATTTAGCATGTAGTTCTGTCCGAGGACAAATGAGAAAGAAGCTGCATCATTAGGACCTAAAAGGCAACAAAACAAAAATCAGAGCATAATGATGCACCTAAATGAAGGGGGAAATGTTGCACAGCTCATTTTATTAATCAGACTGTCAATTCCACCCCAGAGGCCAAACCCCAGAGCAATTGAAGCAAGATCTGATCAAGCTAAGGACAAGAGCTTTACTCCTCACTTCTTGTCTTTCTTTCTTTCCACCTGGATATATTTGTCTGCTCTGAAGCCGCCTTCATTATCCACTGACAGGAGCTTGTATTTATTTGCTTATAAACCTGTTACAATAAATGATTATTCGAACAGCGTCATTCGTACCTTAATGACGAGCACCACTTTTTGATGAATGACATTTCGGGCTAGAAAGGATGTATGGGTCATTTTGACCAGTCATTCCCTCGCTTTGGCATCCCACAATTTTTACACCTCCCTCAAAAACAGATAATAATATTTAGAGACACTTGCCGGGCTGAATGTGAATTAGCCCCTGCTGCAGCTCATCATTAGTACAGGACCAGCCCTGCAACTTTGACATTTTTTATAAAGCTGAGATGATGGAAAGAATAAGAAAAGAGATGATCCTGATGGAGAGAGGGCTGCACAGCCCTACAGCTGGCAAAAGGCTCTCGAATTTGTCAGACTCAGCTGGAAATGCAGTGTTGGAGGCCCTTGAAAATTCTCCGCACAGTGGTCGCCTCAGCCCGAGACTGACTGCCGCCTCCCTGCACAGCGCTATAGGGGACATCTCCGCCAAAGGCAAATTTGAAATAGACACTTTATTCAATCTTCAGCATCCGAACAGCGAAAGCACGGTCTCCTCCGAAATCCCGCCGTCGGAAAGCAGGAAGAAAATCAGCCTTTATTCCGAAGTTGCTCAAGAGGCAGATATGAACAGTGATGTGGAGGTGGGCTGCTCTGCGCTCCGCTCCCCGGCCAGCCTGACTTCTTCCCAGCTGAAGGAAAACAGTAACAAAGGTAACTCTTCCTTTATCATCTCCATCTAAGCCCCGCGCTTTGCCAACAGGCTTTAAAAACCAAAGGAAACCCACCGCCACTGCCAAAGTTGCTCGCTTCTGCATCAGTGCTCTTTCTTCTGCGAAGACAGAGCTCCAGGCTGTAAAATATTATTGCAATTACTGCGCTATCCCGATAACCGAGACACACTGCTCGGGCAGCTCCTGTGCGGGTGCCTTCGTGTATGTGTATGTCTGTGCATGCCCAAATCCATTGATATGTAGATATATATCCAGAGTATATGTGGGCACAGATATCCACCCACTTATATTTAGGCAAAGCTTTCTTCACTTATTTCCCCGAGCTCTTGGAGTTCTCGGCGTCTCTTGAGCTGTATATGCGTCTATATACATACATAGATTAAATTAGAGGGAGAGAGGGGAATGAAAGAAAACTACTCGCATTTGTCTGTGTGTGTCCTTCTCTGTGTATATGCAACGTGCTGTCTGTGTCCACCTCGGGGTAATTTGGCATTGTTCACTTTTCCTCTGCTTGTAACAGGGGGTTTGAAACAGCCTCATCTCCTTCCCCGTGCTTTGCGGGCCACGGTGATGGACGGTGGTTGTTATTATTGCTGGAGGTTATTGGGGAGGTGGAGGTAGATGAACGGTGGATTTCCTAGGGGCCACAGTGCATGCCTTTTTTGTCAAATGTGCCAGAGAGAGGAAGGGATGCTCGACGTAACGCTGGAGGGGGGGGGAAGCTTTTGTGGCTGCTTTTATTTCTTATGTCTCAAACGAAAATAAAGAACGGCAGTCGAAGGGGAACAGGCTAGCGCCTAGCCCGGGATACTCGCAGGCCCGTGCCCTCGTCTGCTCTCCCCTGAACTCATCTGCCCTGCAGTCCCCAAGCCCACCCCATCTACTGAGAATAAAGCGGTTATGAAGTTATTAAAAAAA